AGGGGACCGCTGCGGCGGCACTTGCGACGCCCGCCGTGCAGAGGGTCGTGTCTGCGTCGAACCGGTTCATGCCGTCTACGCCGGAGCTGAACCTGACGCCCATCAAGAACGACGACCCGGTCTCGGCCAACGAGAGGCCGCTGCGGTGCCCGTTTTGTGTGAACCAGCGTATGCTTAGGACGATTAAGGAGGCTGTCGAGCATATGTCTACGCACGTTGTTGTCTAGGGAGATTCGATTGCAGAAGACTGGGAAGGGTATTGAAGGTATGGTAAGGGTCTGGCAAAAGGGAGCAAAGTGATTATCAAACGGAAAACGGAAACCTCCCCAGCGAGGGATATTCCAGTAATTGGTAATCCATATTTCGGGTTTGCCGACGTATATCAGAAGGATTATTAGAAGGCGATGGACCAGTCACCACTTTCACAAAACGAAAAAAGGCTTTTTGCTGTCGGATATGGGAATGCAGGTATCAAGGGAGGAAAAAGCACAGTCACGTTGCGCGTGTGTAGTTGTGTATATAGGTGTATGAGTGCTGGGGGCCTGAGGGAGTTGCTACTTTTTGTAACCTATTCTTACACAAGGTACCTTAATGATGAATCGTATGAACGCCATTTACTCTTCGACATAAGGTACCATGCAGCTAGTCTAAGGTAGCTAACATTACCTGCCATCTACCTGTATCTTGGGACTCGTCCTGTCCCAATCACCTAATCACAACACGCAAAAAGACGAGAAGCCCAGCCCCCTACAAGAGGGGCCTACGAAAAGATCCTTCCAGGCCCATACCGACCTCTGCCGTCATGCGAAATGAAGCAAGGATGTTTTTTTTTACAACAAGAAACGGGACTCGAGCCCGTGATCCGTAGGTGCGGCGCAACTCAGAAACAGAGATGACCTTCTCCGCTACGCTACACTACACTACGGGCCTTGGTGATGGCATGAGGTATTGCTATTCATTGTAGAGGGTATCGAGGGAGCGAATGAGAGGTTGGAATAAGCTGGAGACGGGTAGGTTCTGACAAATATTCGTCAGTGGGGCGAGGCGCGGACAGCAGGTTGTTTAGATACACGTCTGTGGCTCGTGCACATGGTTCACATCCTCCCTCACGCGTATCAAGACTAGGTAGGACTCATTGAACAGGCTCGTCTTGATTCATCTCTGGCTAAAATACGGGTATAGGGCCCGTCCCTTGCCCATCTGTCCGAACCTCATCCTCATTCGTCCTCACGTTCGTTCGCTCATCATCAGAACCCCCAGAACCGGTCTTCCTTCCCGTGCACTTCGCCCGAGTACTGAGGACCAGGCCACCGAGGGGAAATCCAGTTGAGAAAGGGTCTCGTGCTAAAATAAAAAGAATTGTGACAGCTCAAGTCAGCCGTCTAACCAATGAACGCCCGCCAATGTCCTCTCTCCGTGGTTCTCGTGGTGGAAACAAATCCGTCTTGAGTCTGTTTGAGAAACTCTTGGACAGATATAAACCCTCGAGGGCTGTATCAATACTTCTTTTTCCCCATCATCAACGTCAATAACCATCCAAAAGAAAATCGTAAGTGGGGACCCTTTCGAGGGCCAAAGAAGTTTAAGAGAAAGAAAAGGGAGCGTAGCCGCTTGCGCGAAGGAGAGTCGATCCACTGGCGCATCATGGTCGTATATCGAGTCCAGCTACTAAGAGAAAACAATATAGAAGTGGAAAAATCAGCCATCGCCTGTGTAATAAGACAGTAAATAGCAACGCGTCGCGTGCGCTGGGAATCATGAAGTGAGAATGCAATGGCGGGTGGGGGGTATGCTTTTGTCTCTCAAGTAGTCGTGAAAACCATCTAGGAAAAAGTCCGAGCTGAGTAGCACCTTGTCGAGCCTTAGACCTGCTCGACGTAGAGGAGGAGCTTCTCATTCCTTTGCAAGGCGTAGTCCAAGTCGTTGTCGCTCATGAGGTTGGGCTTGTCGCCGGTGGGTTCGTCCTTGTAGAAGAGCTGGACTTCCTCGCCTACTGGGATCTTGAGCCTGTCCACAATCTTGTCGTACAGCTGCTGGAAGGAAATGTCTGTCGCAACCCGGATCGCGATGAGATCGCCGTTGAAGTAGAGCTTGATCTTCATGGCTTGAACTTGACCCTGGCCGATGGCAGGAGAAGGCTGTGACTGCGACAGAGATGACGGCTGCCGGTTCATACCGGGCTGGCCCATCGCTCGTTGCTGAGCACCGTAACCATTGCCATTCAAGTTATTCTTGGAGGATTGTCGTGAAGCCGCATCTGCTGGTGATTCGTTCGATGAAGGCTGCGAGCCGCCCGATAGTCGGTATTCGTCGCTCGGCGCATTGGGGTCCATCTCGTAGTCGCCTTCTCTGGGGGCGAAGAATTGCTTGACGAGGGTACATCTTGCAATGTAGGCAGGCTGCGCGAGGAGGTTCTTAACGTAGGCATCTAGGTTGTGTAGCCGGCCTTCCGTGATTTGATCTGTCACATAGTTTACTGGACCAGGCATGTATGGGAGTGTACGCTTTTGCGTGCCGGTGTTTCCTGCCTCGGCCGGGAACTCAGTGAGCAAGGCAATCTGGAAGTCGTAGAAGTCCTCGTAGTATCTGGACAGTTCCCAGTGACGGCCATCCTCCAGCACTGCTTCAATGACGAACCAGTACTTGTCTTCCGCAAAACAATACCTCGGAATACGGGCTGAGATGGGAGCGTAAAGCTGCGACGCTGGTTTGGCGTAGGGACTGGGTTGAGCAGCTTGCTGAGAGTTGCGTGATTGCTGGTAGCTAGCTTGTTGTTGTTGCTGTTGCTGCTGTGTGGCATGCGTTAGCCTCAAGGTTTCCATGATAGAACGAGGAGAAACGTACATAGTTGGCACCGTTCTGTGAACTGGTGCGCCCGCCTTGTTGAAGACTCATGCGTTCCATTCCCTGCTCGATGGAGCCCTGTTGCGGTGCACCGTTGTCGAACTTGCCCAGTGTGATGCTACTATTCTTGTAGTCGGCCGCCATCTTCTTCCATTCTTCGACCTTGGGGATGCCGGCCTTCTTGATTGCCCCGGAGGCGTCTCCGACAGCGGTGTCCGTCGCCATATCGCGTATTTCGACAAACGATACGGGTATCAAGCCGGGTCCTCCCAATCTGCCGATAGGCTTGGCGACAAACCATTCGGGGTTTGATTGAGCAATGACGATGATGGCCTCACCAGCCTTAGCCTCCAGCTCGTCGGCGCGCTCTGCAACAAAGTCGTACATGACGATACCATAGACCATCGCGCCGGACCTGCTGCCGGACCTAGACATACGCTGCGTCGGCTGAGTTGCGGGTGGTGATTGCATTGCGCCGGGAGGCGGCGCAGCCTCGGCATAGCCGGAATCGTGATCGGGGTTCTTGGAAATTGTCGGAGACATGGTTGGTGGCCGGGGCATAGCACCGTCGGACTGGCCACTATCTCTTTCGGTTCGGCCTAATGCTTGGAAAAAGGCTACAGGTACGAGGCCGCGGGCGTCGGGCAGTGCTGGGTTGCAGGCTTCGTACCAGTCGGGGTCGTTCTCTCTGCCGATGACGTGGAAGAAGTCGCCGCGCGAAAAGCTCAGCTCTTGGTTGGACTGGGCTTCATAATCGTATAGGGCTCGGATAACCTGGTAGGTGGATTCCAGCGGTCAGCATACGGAGTAAATGCGATTGCGTAGTTGTCAGCTTTCCCCCCACCATACGCATACGCGCGTGGTGGAGGCCCAGGCGCATGGGGCAGCATGGGGATTGAGGCATCTATCAGCACACACCTTCTTTGGGGGGACAATAGCAACAGCAGACTTGGGGGCAATGTTGACTTTGGCATTATCCTTTTCGCCCTTGATGGACCGACGGAGGGCCTGCATAAGGTGAGGGACTGTCAGTAAGTGATCGGAAAACCGATTTCTGGACATTGATTCGCGATTCATCGTGGGTATGAGCATGGGCGCATGCGGGGTTGCTCATATACGGCGGAAAGTGGGAGAAAGGGAGCGCAAAATGTCGCAAAAGGGCTGAGGGCAGAGATACAGAGAGGTAGAAACAGAGCGCATGCAAGATTGTGCACCGGTTTCTTTTTGGGGAGGATGTGAAGTTGTGAGAAGGAATCGCAAGAACACAAGAGTGGTGTTTGGTGTTTAGTGGTGGTGGTGGTGGTGGTGGTGACATGCGCGCGCACACGACTGGGTTTCTGGAAAGAGGGAGAGAAACTATTGATAGGGGTGGGAAGAGGGGGAAGAAGATGAATGGAAATGCGATGCAAGAAGCAGAGAGAGAGAAAGAGAGAGGATTGCACAACAGCAGGTACCAGGAGGCAGGAGTGTGGAGGATAACGAACCTTCATCTTGTGTGACGCTCCCTCACTTTGGGGAGGAGAGGACAGCTGCAGATTCTGGCAAGAATTAAGTGCGATGCTGTTGCGAAAAGGAAGTTGAAGTGGGAGTGGTGACGGGGGGCCCTGTTGCACCACACGGGAAAGTATGAAGTGGTGGTTAGGTACTGAGTGACTGACTGACTACTGACTGATGTTAGGCAGGTGCAGGCAGGTCAGGTCAGGTCAGGTCGAGAGAGGGAAGATAGGGATAATTGGGTGGGAAATGCTCCTTCCGCCAGGCAAGGCAAGGCAAAGTAAGGAAGGCAAGGCGTGATTGGGCGCAAACCAGGGGGTCTTCGTAGGGGGTGGGCGTGGATTGCGTGGATCAGTGTGCAACTATAAGCGACACTGCGACAAGACGAGACCCAAATGTCGATGTCTGTTGAAGGTGCAAAGTAAGTGGTGCAAGTATGAGCGTTGCAATTCCAGTTGCTGTTGCTGTTGTGGTTCGTGTGTGTATACCAGGCGGGATTCTCTCCAAGAGATGAAGGACGAGAGGTGTTGCTAGGTTGGGTTTGAGTTGAGAGTGTTGTTCCTTCCACTGATGGCTTGTTTTCTTTTTTTTTCCCTTTTTTTTCTTCCCTTCGACGGAGGGAAGGAGAGAGGGGGGGGGATTGATTGATTGGGACTGGTAGGTTACCGGGACCAGGCTGATGCCAGTGCGAACGGGAAGGAAGGAGGGGCGATGATGACTGGGTCGCACTTTCCCTTCGGATTGCGTTCCTTACTTGAGTCGTGGGGGAGGTGCGGTTGGTGGTGGAAGGCACGGAGTGGTGGTGGTGGTGGTGCTTGCCGTGGACCGTTGGGCTTTGTCTGGAAAGGAAAGCGACGGGCTGAGAAATGGTGCGGCAGGCGGAAAGATCGACGGGTAAAAGTCGTTGGTTCCTTCTTGAGAATGTTCTTTATCCTCCCAAGGTCTTCTTGTTCGACGTCGTCGGCCTCGGTGTTTGGCGTAGGTTTCCTTTCCTTGCCTTTCCTTTCTCTTTTCTTACACAGCTCCTTTCTGCTCTGTCCGTGCGACTTTTCGATCTTTCTCTCGTCTGCCCGTTTGTGTGTGTCTCTCCAATACGCTTTTACCACGCGATCAGTTTCGACAATGTCCTTCCGAGTTTTCCGCTTCGTTTTTTTGATTTTCTTACTTCACACGGAGCAAAAAGAAGAAAAGAAAAATCGTTTCCACTGGATATCGGGCTGGCGCAGTACTTCGTGGGATTGTCTCTCCTCTGCTTTCTTATTCGGACTCGGAAGACGGCTGTATCCTTCTCTCTTTCTCGGCCTCCGAAACAGGGTGACCCGCGACTCAACTCGGGCTACACGGTACTCGGCGGGGTCGCAGGGGTCGGATGTGAGGTTGGCAGATGCACAACTTCTCGTCGTTCCTCGATCAATGACTGTCGTCCAAGACTCCAAACTTGAGCTTTTCGAATGCGCGACCAAGTGCAAAGATTGCGCTGAAGTGCGGCGTGCGGCGGACTTGCTGCGAGTGACCTGGAGGGTTGAGAGGAGGTGAGGGAAGCGACTCGAGAGAAAGCGGCGCGGACGGACGAGGGTAGAAAAGGCTCGTTCGCCCAACCAAGCATCTGCCCAAGGTGCCTGGGTACCCCGTACTCACTACCACCTACTTTACTCACTTTACATTACGGAGCGCTGCGGCACACACACACACACACATACACACTATGACCACACTCCAACGCCCGGGATGGACTCCCATGGCCCAAATCCCACCAGACCAGACGAATCGAGGGGGAGACGGTTGGAGAGGGCTTGACTGGTGGGACTCGCCGACGAGGGTCGCCGACACCCCGGTCTGTACCCGTCTGTCCAGTCTGCCCACTGGGCGTGGGTGGGTAAATTGCGCTAGGGTTACGGGTGGGTGTCCTGCCCTCCAACGAGGGTGTCAACTTGCAGATGGCTATGGATGGTGGCATGCGTCTCGCCACGGGAGTATGTGGGCAAAGGCCCTCGTGCGCCGTGTCTGTCACCTTGTGTGCCGCGCCGCCTGCCTTTCGCATGCTCTGCTGCCAGGCTGTGCGAGACAATGCTACTGAGTGATGCTTTAGGTAGTGTAGAAGGGGAACTTCCATCAACCGTGCTTCAAGTTCATGGATGCCATCCATAGGAGAATGTTTCTTCTTCAACCTTCGTCTACATTTGCTACAGCCTTTGGCGCACCAAGTCTCCGACAACCGTCACTTGGCAGTACACTTACACCATCACAGCTAGAACAGCAGCCACCGTCAGAGATCGCTCCGTCTGGTAACGCAGCAACAGCAAGTTCGGGAGGCACCCGGTGACAGTTGACTGACAGACCAGTCCGAAGACATGGAAGCCGTCGCCCACGAGCACGGAGACTAAAACCGTCTTACGTACGGACCGGGCATTGCGCGAAACCACAGCGGGCGTGGTGGCCCAGCAGCAGCAACCCTCAGATGGAAAGCTTAAATCACCCCCCAAGAGTCTTCCATGGAGATAGCAGTCGGGAAATGTCACGAGAGCCGATTCTACACCATACAGTCCTCCTTCCACTCAACGGAACCACAGAGAGCCAGCTCTCGGTACGTTGGACGTCCAGTTGTCAACGCCCGATGGATGCCTTTGGTCGCATTCTTTGTGCGGCATAGTCATTTCAGGGCCCTGGGACTAGCAGCTCGAGTGCCAGTCGCATCTTGCAGCTGCATGTCTCGCCCTTCTGCTCCCTAAGCCTCATGCTGGAGGCAGCCACCGGCTCTGAGCCGAAGCACCATACCTAGCTCGAATCTTTGGACGACAGTGAAGGGTCGCGACAGGCCAGCTATAGCAGCACAAGACTCGGTGCGTAGTGCCCATAACGACGGCACTGGATTTCATCCAAGGGCGCTAGAGCAGCTAGCGATGGGGATACAAGACAGCTACCAGTCAGCGAGCATGACTTTTACCCTTTGACGACAAACTAGAGTCCACCTTCTTTCTCAGCTATCGTCCGAGACGCCCTCGTTTAGCGTATAGCTGCCAGCTTTCCAATAGTCTTGTCCTTCTCTACAGCTTACCGCAAGAAGGGCTGGAGCTGTTCAACCATTAACAAGCCAATCTGCCGCAGCAGACATCGCACAGCGAGAAGCCTGGCTAGCGGTTGGGCCGCTTGCCGTCAATACTGTCATACCCTGGACCCCATCCCCTGAGGGCATCCTCCCCGCGGTTGCTCAGCCTTTGCCACTGTCTCCCTGGGCGCGCACATGGCAAAACCTCCACTCAAACACAGACCTTTTTTGGATTTTCGCAAACACCCCTCCTCAAGCTAGATTGAGCTTTGCACGCCCCCATGCGAAACATCAGTTTACAACCAATGACAAGAGCAAAGAGCTTTTGACATTTGCTTTTGCATGAACTGACCTCGCTCTTGGACAGCTTATCCCGTCTCTGGCAGAGTTGGATGAGCTCCCCCGGATGGCAGTGCGACGCAGGGGACTGGTCAAGAGATGGAAACTCATGGCGGCACCTTATCGATTAACGCAAAGACTCCTTCGCTCCCTTGTGATCCCGAGCAATGCAGGAAGAAGGGGTATCCTGTGCCCCCCATCTATCGGCCACACTCTAGCAGAGTTCTTCCTTTTTCTCAATCAGGGACAGCTCACTTGAACAAATGCCTCTTGGTTAGGACCCCTGTATGCGGCGGGCCCGGACGGTAATTATCTCTTTGGGACCCATTGAGTTCCAGCCTAATAAGTTCAACGGCCTGGACGCCACTTCGGCCTCAACCCAACCTACGGTCGAGCCCTGTCACACGGAATCTTTCCCCGGCCACCAGGCCGAGACAACACGGCCTATCCGTACCTTAGACCTCTCCGGTATAACGTGAGATTGCGGCGTCTACCTGTACGGCCTGTTGATGTCGCGATTGGTGTCATCGGAAGAGCTGCACTTCTACGGCCAGGCGGTAGGCTTCTAAGTCTTGCGCAGACTACGACGTTGTCACAGATCTCATCGGTTGCCATGCGGCTTTCGGGCGGCCTGGAACGCCGCGGATGACGCAGCATATCCCACCAAAAGGTGCTAGCAAGCAATTGCATGGCAAATATCCCGACGTTTATTACAAGGGTCTCGTGGATCCAGTGCGATCCACGCCAAGCTGGCATCGCGAATCTTTTTGATATCGTCTGTTGATACTGGTCATGCGGACGTCGACAGGCCAATATGGGTAATGGCACACATTCGACTCCTTATGCGCATTCCAACCCTTCTTACAATGACCTCCACCGTCGAGACGGCTCAAAACCTAATCGGCTTTTTGTCTGAACGACATGGCGATCTTGCCCTACCGTTAGAGGTTCAAAGCCTGCGGAGTGAGGATACACTGGTCTTCACGCTAGCAAAATACGCTTGCGAGGATTCAAAAGTCTAGGCCAGGCCAGAATGCGTCTTAGCCAATTGATCAGCAAGGAATGGAGGACCAGCTTACGCGCCGACGCGTCGGTTCAGGCTTCCTCAATTTGGCGCGCGCATCCACAAAAACAGTCCTGCAGCCATTGTCAACCAAGTGAACCAACAATGTCGAATCGCATTCCGCCGCTTTCAAAGTGCATTTTCTTCCGTTGGTGCCGTCAGATACCTACCGGCCCTTTCTGCGAACTACATGTCAGGGCCAACGGCGCTGTACCTTGCATAGACGTTGCCCATGCACGCCTCATCAGAATGACTTCATCTACCGGCTTCCCTTGCACCGCTACTCTTCCCAATCCGTCCCAGGTTTCCGACGCCTCGAATAGATTGCTACGTTCTCCATTCCCCCACCCGTGGTGCTCTTGATGGCACCTTGGTCTTGTCCAGGCCCCAGGTGCGCTAAATGGCTGTTGCAGAGAGAAACCCCGCCAACGACCCATTTCAGTGGGACGGTTCAGGAACGGTATCCTGGCCCCTTCTTGGCCTTTCCACTGCCTGACGGATGTGGCAGGGCTGGCTGGAGAAAAGCTGGATGCTTTTTAATCGCATCTCTCTGCCGCTGATGTCGATCGCTACCGGTGTTAGTTTCTGTACAGCATTCACGGAACGCGGCTGGCGCTCGAGTAGACGCGGATCGAGTTGACGTTGCAGGGGCTCATTTGGGATTACCAAGCCTACGGTACGGACACTCTGCACTGCAACTTGCGCCGGCCCCATTTGGCTCTTACACCAATGCTTGGTAACCCAAAGCAGCAGCATATAGAAGCACTTTAATGGGCGTGACGTAGGACGGAATATTGGCAGCAGAGCCGCGTCTTCTGCCGACCCCACGGCACCATATCCCCCGTTCTCATGCGCACCGATACACAGTTGATCAAGTTGGCCTGACATGTCTCCCGACTATGCTACTTGTCATCGACTCTAGAAGCTTCTCAGATTCACAGCTCCCGGTAAATCGCATCTGCAACAGCGCGTCGTACGTCCAGTGCCATCCATGGCATGCGAAACCCGCTGATATCCAAGCAAGACAATGCGCCAGGCATGTCAAGCCCGATAGCGAGACTCGCATTCCAAATACCCCGGGTCACGTTAACCCACACTTTTGCATTTATCTTGGCTACTACTGCTCTACTGAGCTTGCGGAGCAAGGTCTAGCTTTAACCTCGTGCCGCAGTTGTGTTCGGATCCAGCCCGTCCCGTTCGCGGGCACGACACAACTTGAAACTCGACGTCCCATGTCGCCTGAAACGGGGCAGAGAACGGCATCATCACCAATGAAAGGCCAGGAAAACGCACCCATTCTTTGCGACTTAAAGTGCTTTCAGAGTTCCAAATAGGACGGAGAGGAACCCTGGCCCGTCCCTGGTTGATGATCTTCAAGTCAGGGTTGCCTCACATCGGGATGCCCTGGCCAGAAAGTGAGACCTGTCAGCCCCAATCGCGGGGTGAGTGAGAGAAACGGAAGTGCAGTACCATATTCCGGAGCATCAAATACGTAGCGTTGACCCTGAACGCCCAACTAGAATGGCTCATTGGGCCAAGAATCGAATGCCCTGTTGAGATGACGGGCGATCACTTACGGTGACGATGTCTCTAGTCTGCTTCTACTATCATGAGTCGTCAGCTGCGCCAACAGTACCAGAGTGAACGGGCAGACTCAGTAGAACAAGCTGTATTCGGCCAATGGACGCCAATCGTTCTCTCGTCAGTGCCTTAAAAAAGCAATTTCGGAAAGACAGGCTACACCTCTTCACCACCCATACTTACACCTCGAAATCAGGCCGAAACAATCACAGAAAGACAGCCGGCATGCAAAGTCCCGTTCACACCATTCCGTAGCGCCGATCTTCCGCCGCCGACTCGCGGGCTCTAGGAAGGACACCAAGTGCCACTGCCGTTCGGTGGTCGACTCTGGTAGCGAATGGCTGACTTGGCGCAGGGAGAAGGGATCTCTCGCATGGCCTTGGTCCACGATGCAACGCCAGACCACCAGGACGCGTCCTCCTCGGCCCTTGCAGAAGGCGCTCTTCTTTTAGTCTTTGTCGGCCTTCCTCGGAGTGGCAAACCGTGGCGGCCCTTCCCGCGGGACACCACTATCCCCGGTCAAATCAGGTATTTTGGACTCGGATTCGGCACACGGCAGACGGTCTTGCGGGCCAATGAATTGTACGGACCAACGGTCTGCCCGTCCAGAAATAGCATGCGCAGTCCCCTTTGACGACCAAGCATAGTATAAGGTAGCTGGGGTTACAGATTGCTCTCGCAACCCTGCTCTCAGTTTAAGAGGTCGCCGCTGCTCGAGTGGCTTCACAAAGCATTGCATTCTCAAGAGGCCCGGTATGCAATATGAGACCTGCCGTCTATGTGAAGTATCACTCGGCTGCCTTTCGCTTGACGTATCCCGAACAGGATTCGTCGTGGTTTATACGCGTGTACGAGCATCCAGTGAAGAAGATCTGCCGCCTTCTCAACGAGGATCTAAGCCAGCTCGGCCATGCTGATGATACTTGTCAATTTCTGGTGACGTCTTCCGCAAGCCCGGTCTCTATCATGCCAAGCAAGAGATTGCAAAATCTCTCCTCCACCAATACAGAGCAGTACAGCGAGATATGTAAAGTTGTTTTACACCACCAATAGGACCTTCCTCGGCGCTCAACTCTCGGGCGTGAAGCTTCACCAAAACTCAATCCAAAATATCCTGTAACAAGCACCCCTATCACCTTGTTGTTTCCATTCGGCCCCTTCCACCTAGCTTAAAAGCTTGCTCATACGATGCTGTAGCTTCTTGGCCTTTTACCTTTTTTGGTTTTCCCATGCAGCTAATATCATCCATTACTCCCTCGATGTGCCTGACCATCTAAGCCCGGGATGGATGGCGTGGTGAGATGGGTGGGCAGACGCCCGGGACCCCGTGCGGGTTGTGCGTGCGTCTGCAAGTGCACGGCCGGGGGATGTCATACCGCGCGAGGGGATTTCTGCTTCGAGCTGTTGTTTTCTTTGACCCAAAGAGAAGCCGCAGGGAGAAAAAACAACATCCGAGGGGGGAAAACTCGAGAGATTGAGAGATAAGAACAGAGTTTGGCCTCATGGTTGTGTGGATTTCCAACATCTTACCGCTCTTGCTATCGTGAGCTTACACCATGGGCTTCAGCACGGCCCGCCCCTGAACCATCTCCAATGAACGTCTTTTCCCTTTCTCTCTTTTCGAACGGGAATGAGATGCCCGTGGTTCGCCTGAACCTCTGTTATCACGCCCGGTTCGGATGAGTTTATCCCGTCTGCAGCTAGTTGTACTTGGAGATGTCTATGAGAGAGTCGCGGGGGTCTAGGCCATATTTGGGGAGGAACTCGGCGGAGGCGGAAGTATGCAGGCAGGTCAGTAGGTAGGTAGGGTAGGTAGCCTATCTTCCTCGGCCCTGATCGGGCAGTTGGTAATGTGCGAGCATGCTGGAGGTCGAGGTTAAGGTTGAACTTGAGCCTTGTTCGTCTTTCCGGCGTCACGGTCCCGTGATGCTTTTTGAAACTTTTACTAGACTGTGATACTGTCAGGCTTTCCTTCGTGAACTAGGCTATGACGGGGGGGGGGGGGGAGCGCTGTGGTGCATTATTTCCTAACATCGCAGTCTCCATGCCCTAGCCAGAAGGAAAATCATGAGTACTCTTTACGGGCTTGCATATGGTACAAATCATCCCTTCAGAAGTGACCTTCTCTGATCCGTTTCCTTCCAGTCACCCGTATTACGTCCATCCAACAAAGAGAACAATATTAAGGATCAGGCCTGCTCCTCGTCTTCAAGCAAAACCTCTCTGTTGGTGTACTAAGATCATACCTGCAGTATGGATAGGACGAGAATCCTATCCTCCCCAGCCCCCAATTTTGCAAATCTTGTGGAGGAGGTGAGTGAGTGGTGACGAGGACCTCCTGCAGATCTTTCCAGCATACAAATCTGCAGCGCCAGCGCCTGTCCGTCTGCTCATGGCAAAGTAGTAGAAACCGCAGCAAGAATAGTCATTATTAACCCCGCCAGACGCTGTTTCGGAGGCGGTGAACGTTGTTCAGGTGATCTCGACGAGAGCTTGGCCCATATGCATGGAACATGAAGCCACGAGATGTCAAGTCTTCTTCCAACACGCGGGCTGTTGGGATTTGGATAGCGCCGACTGGTCATGGATGAGTGAGATCCATCAATTCTACTTTCGCTGCAGCCATACCCTATACAGCCAATGGTAGAAAAGCACCGAGGTCAAGATAGCGATTGCCATGAGACATATGAGAACCGCCGTTCAAGCCATCGAGAACGAAAAACAAGGGCCATCTTGCACGGCATAAAAAAAGTAGCAAATGTATAGCATGAATTTCATAAGGTCTACAGACCGGACTGCTGCCAGGCTACGAAAGGCAGCCTGCAATATTTCCATTAAAGCTGAGTGACGTATATGCAAACGTCCAGAACAAACTCCAGTCGCCATCTAGCCGTCATGGAGATAGATTCCATGTATTTTCCGCTCAAACGCCATCCTGTTGCCTCTGCTAAGGCAGGGCGAACGGGTATCATGCCTATAAAGCCCCCAGAGCCCAAGACCAGCACCAAGCCGGTAACGTCGGTCGTCATCAGCGGGGGAGCCACTTTTGCGCAAGCATCGCACCCCTCATCCAGCGCTGTCTTCGAGAGAAACAACCGAAGATGTCCCCGCTGCGTGGAGCTGTGCGTAAGCGTCAATGCCATCAGAGGGGGGCGGGCAGCGGGATAGAAAGCGATAATTCGTAAGCTCGTAACCAAGAACTGGTATTAGACGTCTTCGAAGGGCGCAAGTGATGCAGGGTAAAATGACACGCCAATGTTGTGAAACTGTCGGTAGGAAAACAAGAGAAGAAAGAGGAAACGAGGAGGAATGAGTCCACAGATCAAAGCCTGTGGACTTTAAAGAGAGAACCGGAGGGAGGAGTGGAAGCAAGACCTCGCGAGTGGCTTTGGGGTCGGCGGTAGGGGTGGTTAGAAGTTGTGTAGAGCAATTTGTGATGAGAACAGAGATGACGAGGAATTCATATCTGTCCTTTGATGTCAACCTTGCGGAAAGCCTCGCTTCTGGCGGAGTCGAAGAGGGCTCCGGCTTTGCCGGTCAAGAGAGCAATAGACTCTTGTCGTTCCTCGAGCAGATGCTGACCATTGTAGTCGACAATGAATTGAGCCGCATCAACGTCGGACTCGAAGCCGAGTTCCTCCGTGATGAACCGTAACTTTACGTCTGGCTTGTATCTATGTCCAAGTTAGCAAGGTGATGCCAAACTATGATCAGGGATTGAACTTACGCTTTGCAAATGTTGCACAGAGCAGCTAGCCGCTCACGAACGACGAACATGTCCATGAGGTATGCACCCATGTTAGGGGTGTCCAGGTAAAGCTGGAAGAACTTGTGGTAGTTACCCAAGGCAAGAGCGGACCGCACCTGGAGCGCATGCTTGATGGGTCGTTCCTCCTTCTCTGCTGTGGTTAGATCTGCCAAGGCATCATTCAGGCCGGTACGGTTGGCAGTGTGAATAAAGTACAAAATGCGATATGCCTTGAACTCGATGGGGTTTCCTTTCAGTCCCTTTGCGTACAGAGTACGCAGCTGGGTTTGGCACTGATTATACTCACCAAGGTCCCCCTTCTCCAACGCAATACGAGCGTGGAGTTCGTAAACGGTGACTGTAAAGTCGTTCTTGATCCGCTGCACTGTCAGATCTTGCCGCATGGATTTCAGCTGGTCGCAGATGTAAGAGTAGTTGCCCTCCTTCTTCCACTTCTTCTTCAGGAGATCCATCGTCTTGTGAAGGACGCGCTCGGGCCGAACCATGGAGGCCACGGGAGGAGCGGTCAGACGCAGGTAGCGCTTCTCCAAAGTTTCGCTGGTGCCGACGACGGGTCCATCAGAGGGCGGAGGGCTAGGCGATCGGTACGAGGATTTGTAGCCGCCATCGAAGCGGCGTTGACGTTTCTCCAACTGCTTCTGGAACTTACTTGACTTGGGCAGTGGCTCATCGAGGTTGGCGCGTTTGTCGGGGGAGGCGAAGGTGATTCGGTCTTCCAGTGCGTTGGATCGGTTGCTGTTAGTAGTACGCCAAGGCACGGCAGAAGACTTTTCATCCGGGGTAAAATCAGACGACTTTCTCTTCTTGGGGTTGGCAGACATTGAACCATCATATCGCGATGCAAATGGAGATGATACGTTCATAGCGGAGTTGAGCTGGGACTGGCGCTCGTTTCGGATCAGATCGGAGGGAAATGGCATCTTCTCCCAGTCGGTTGACTCGAGAGTGCCGTTCTCCATGTGCTGGGAAATGGTCTCCTTCAACTTGGCTTCAATCTCGGGGCGTGGCACGGAGGGGTCCATGTTATGAGGCAGGAAAGACCGTTGGACGTAATCGCGGACGGAGGGTGGCCATTCAACCTTTCGTGGAGCCGGGGCAGGAGCAACAGGAGCAGCTTGGTCGAAGGGAGCAGCCAAGGGAGGCGGCGAAGTACTGTAGGCAGGTGCAGCGGGTGGGGGAGGATACTGGCCGAAGCTTTGTCGAGCCTGGACTGCGGTGTATGCTGGATCTAGAAAGAGAAAAAAATAGGATTAGTAAATCAGATCAGAACACAGTCAGTCTGAGAGGAGGAAAACTCACTGGGAGGGTAAGCATAGTTGGCGGGAGGTGCTCCGTAGGCAATGCCTGGAGGCGGTGCCGGAGGCCAGCTAGTGGGCATCATTGTGAGGGCTGTGAGGATCGATCTTGAATATTTCTGGATCGAAAATTAGTCTTGATCGGTCAGAACAAGTATATCTATCGATCTTTCGTGGTTGAGGCCGACTGAAAAAGGCGTGGAAATGTCGAACAGTCGAAGACGCGGTGGTGGTGGTGGAAGGGGGGAAAGATGAAGTGAGGTTGGGAAGAAGCCGTGAAAGGTGAGGGCGGTAACAAAATGACGGTGGCCCGTGTGCGGGATTTCAGGTAATAATAGTGGGGATCCGAGCCAAACAGTGCCCTTGTGCCTTGTGGCCAGAAACATTGGTTGTCACTGGCACAGGGTGCCACCTCGATGATTACCTAATGCATCATGCCTAGGTGCACCAATGCACCCTGATGCACACCGCTAGCAACAAAAGGGGACTATCGCTATAGTGGGTCGGCGACATCCCACCTTCAATGTCCAGTCCCCCCTCCACTCGACCGTTGCTTCTCCGTGGGGCAGTTGTGTTACGAGAGAGATAAACTGACGCCTGGCATAGGAGCTGTTGGTTGAGTTCCTTCAGCCTCAACAACAATCCACTGAACTTGGTTCGGTGTCTCAAAACCTGTGGAGTTCTCCTCTTCTACCCTCGAATCATGCGCAATCCTTGAAATAGCTGCGAACCCGGCTTCCGATCCCCTCCTCGAACCAGCCCGAGACTGTCCCTGACGTATGCGACAAACCGCGGCAAATAGCCCCTGCCATACTTCAACACCTCCCAACCAAACCCCAGTTTTGCGCGAGCTTCAATATCCTCAGTACGCTCGTGAATAATATGACGGATGTTTCTAAAACACATCGACCTCACGACCGCTCTCCGGCCTTCCTACCTACCGGATGAAGTCTTGTTGTTCGTCCAGGACAACGTCGGGCTCTATGAAGGGTAAATACGACGAGCCTTGAACCCCATCCTACGCTTCTCACCATGTACCAGTACACTAATTGGCTCTCCTCTTTGTCTAGGAAGTTCAAATTACCTCAACAGCAAAATGGTCAGGTGTACTTGACGTCCCACCGAATCTGCTACGTCGACAAGGACGAGCCGCGCAAGCACTCCGTTGCCCTAGATCTGAAAGACATTGATCGATATGAGTTCTACGCGGGGTTCCTGAAATCTTCTGCGAAGATCACCCTGATTCCCAAGCCAATAAAACGCTCGTCGCTCCAGACTAGAGCGTCTGCGATATCTACACCTGGGAGAAATGGCGCAGGGTCACCAGCTCGAGCCGATGGTCCCTACCGACCGCCGCCCGAACCAACAAGCGCAGCAACCTGGGTTTGCACCATCTGCAGCTTCTCCAACCCGGTCCCGTCAAACTTTGACCCAACGACGGCAAACATACACACCCCGCTGCCACCATGTCTTGCTTGCGGCATCAAGCCGACGTTGGCGCACGTTTTGAAGGCTTCTATATCGAATGCGACCAGCCGCGCCCCGCCGGCCACCCCTTCGAGCCCAACAGTCAGCTCGCCCCTCGCGATGCGCCCTCGGTCGACCTCCAACAGGCCCGACGACAACGCGGGGCCTCCGCCTCCCTGGCCAGCGGCCTCGAACATCAACGGCGGCGCCCCACCGAAGCCATCAGATCCAAGCGCGACGTTCCAATGCCCTCGATGCACGTTCTCAAATCACCCGTCCCTGCTGTCATGCGAGATGTGCGGGGCACCCCTAATATCGCAAGATCTGCCCCAAGCAGTCGTCACCCAGGTGCAGACACAAAGGACAGAGTCTCCAGGCCCGGTCCTCACGACGTCCTCGCCTGGCCAGGATACCGCCGAGAACATCAAAATTTCCTTCCGCGGAGGCGGAGAGAAGATATTTTACGAGCGGCTCAAGGGCGCGTTGACACAGCGCAAGTGGCTCCTGCAGGGCGCGCCGCCGGTACCTAAGAGCAATCGCACAATAGACGACAACGGCGCACTCGTACGCGCACCCGCGGCGGTCCCCGAGCGTCCCAAGGGCGTGGGTATCGCGGGTCTGGAGCAGCGCGGGCTCGACATGCGCAAGAACAACGAGGTGATGATTGGCAGCGCGTTCGAGGACCTGGACGCCCTAATGGCCTCCGCCAAGGAGATTGTGGCCCTCGCGGAGAGGTTTGCGCGACAGAACGGCGGGACGGGCGCCGAGGCCAACGCTCTGCTAGCCGAATCGGCCAGCCAGCTCGGTCTCGTGACGACCAAGGATATTGTAGGCGGGAGCAGTTCCGAGACGCTGTACCTGTCCGAGTTGTCGAGGAATCTTGCAGAGTTCCTCACAGACGACGCGCGAGGTGTTTTAAAAAAGGCGGGCGGGATCATCAACTTGGTTGACCTGTGGGCCATGTTCAACCGCGCCCGGGGCGGCGTCGAGCTCGTGAGCCCCATGGATTTCGAAAAGGCCTCGCAGATGTGGGAGTCACTCAAACTGCCCGTCCGGCTGCGAAAGTTCAAGAGCGGTGTGCTGGTCGTACAGAGTAGCGATCGCACCGACGAGACCACCATCAGGGCGCTGGTGTCCTGGCTGGACGACTTGCACGAGTTCCCGCCGGACAAGGAGCTGGCGTGGGACTGGCGACAGTTTGGCCGCGGGGTGACGGCGCGGGATGCGGCGGAGCGGTTCGGCTGGAGCATTGGTGTGGCGGAGGAGGAGCTGGAGATGGCTGAGGAAAGGGGCGTGGTCTGTCGCGAGGACGGCATCGAGGGGCTCAAGTTTTGGAAGAATTACATTGACGTGGGCGATGTGAAGTACCGCCGGCGCTGGAAGCATCGCCCAGAGGACGAGATCATGAAGGCGCTTAGAGAGAGTGGGTTCTTGTGACATTGCGGAAAGCTAGCTGTTTTGTGTGACACTGAACCTTGGATATATATCTATCTCGTGCTAGGTTCGACCTGGCTGGCGCGATTTGCAGACGATTAGAGCGCGCATTACTATTCTACAAGTGTGTCTTTGTGTGTGTTGATGTGTACGTGTCTGTGCTTTGGGGGTTTCTCCCGGTCTGTCGTCTCTATGTCAGATGCCCAGTTTCCTTGAACCCGGCGGCCTGGGTTGATACCGCCTCCCAATGTCTTGAACCCATCTGATGCCAAAAAAAGAAGAAACCCGGAAACGCCGCCCCATGTGAACCAATGCCAAAGAGGGAGGTTCTCAATAAACATAAAAACAAGTCATCTGGCCACCCGTCAGGCAGCTCTTGATCGGGAAAACCACGTTCCAAAGAGGTAAAGGGGACACAGGCTCATGTACTCGGATCCTTTCACTTCTCCGCCCTCTCCATGAGACTCAACCTCACCTTGCGGTTCACGACCCCACCAACACCATACGCCGGGATAATACGGCAGATTCTCGCCATGGTGCTGATACCCCAATTCTTGGCCACAGACTGCCACCGGTTCTGCCACGACACAGGGGTAGCAGCGGCGTTGGGCCGGTTATACACGTCCAACCCGAGCAAATGCAGCGGCGTGCTGGCGAGCTGCACCATGGCCGGCGCGGCGAACTGCACGACGGTCAACCCGCTCACCTTCTTCCTCATCTCCTCGCCCATCCGCTCATTCAGCCAGGGGCCCAGTCTCGGCGGGACGTTGAAGCTCGCGAAGATGGTCATGCAGTCGCGCAGCGTGAAGAGCGCGTAGGTGAGCATCGGTACGGGGCGGGGCGTGGCGCCGGGGGGACCGAACATGCGCGCAAAGACTTGGTCTTTGTACATGCAGATGCCGATGTTTGCGGTGCTCGAGGCGGCGAATTTGGCGGTGCCCGAAGTTACGGACGAGGCTGGCGTGTTGTGGATGGTGGAGGAGGCGGTGTCGAGGGTGTTTGCCGTGAGGTAGGTGCCGCCGTAGAGGGCGAAGATGAGGGCGAAGGGTTTGGAGAAGACGACGGCGTGGGGGCGGAGGAGGAGTTCTTTTAGGCAGGAGCGGACGCATTCGCCTAGGGGACGGCGGCCGGAGGCGTTTTCCATGATGGAGCTATTCAAGAGTCAGTTTCTGGAGTACACTTCAAGGTGTAGGAGAGTTGGGAAGAGAGGGAAGAGTGCTGCTTACCGGTCAATGATGGAGACCAGGGGCGCGACCAAGGTGCCGGCGCACGCTGCGCTGAAGAAGTCGGCTCCGAGGCGGAAGCCCAGGTTCTTGGTGTTCCATTCTGACTTTGCCTCGCCCATTTTGGACTCCATGTCGACTTTTTGGGCCAGCGCCAGCGGGCTTGGGGGTTTGATCTTGAGGTCTGGTGTGACTGGTGCGGATGCGGCTGCGGCGGCGGCGGCAAGCCCTTGTGGTCTTGAGTCTCGTTCCGCCATGCGGGCGCAGTTGTATGTGTATGCGTGTTGGAGCTTCGGAGAAGTTGGAATTTGAAGCTCTCACGATGCTCCGGTTGGGTTTCCTGGTAGTCGATTTCGCAGGCGCCGGGGGGGGGGGGTGACAGCGATTGCGCTGGACCGGGTGGTTTCCCGACGTTCGGTTTGCGACGGGTGATGTCAATAGACGGGTTCGGGGTTGGAGGAGGTGACGTATCGGCGTGGGTGACGTCGCGAAGGTCGGAGTTTTGGGGAAGCTAAGGAAGCTCTCCAAGGACGGGACGACACACACGAATGGGATGAAAGAGGTTCCCTTTTTGGGGGAATCGACCTCAAGAGGAAGGATGAGGCGGGGGGAAAACCAAAGGTAATGGGGGAAAGTGGTCTACTAGAAGATGGGAGAGAGAACAAGGGAAGACCAGGACGAAAAAGGACAAGAGCTACGGTAGAGCTACACTATGGACACAAATCCCATGGGCAAAGAAGAGAGTAGAAAACAAGACCAGCCCGGGACGCAGCTTTTTTGCGACCTTGGTGCCGGGCACGACGCGCCCAATTATGGCCGTCTCGAGGAGCTCAGAGTCAGACAAGCGACCCCGGGACGGGACGGGACCGTAGTCCGTGGCAGAGAGGAAAAAACAGCAGAGCCCTGGACTGGTAGAGTCCCATGGGATAAAATAAAGTGGACTGCCGCAAGGTATTCCGTATCACATCCATGGTGCTACGGATGAGGGTGGACGAATGATTGCTCGAAAATTTCAGCTTACTGGAGACCGAAGTCGGAGATAGTCGGTACGATGGGGCCCGAGGAATGTCCACAGGTATCTACCTCTACTTCGTACCTTTACCTTAGCTAAAAGTCAAGTAATTATAAAGTAGGTAGGTACCTACAGGTAGACATTGTTTTGACATCTTAAGATAAGATACTTTGCCTTGGGTAACTTCGCAAGACATGCCATACAAATTTCTGGCTTGTTACCAGTTCATGTGTATGGCATTTTTCTTCAATGTCTCCATCGCAGGAACCCATCCCGAGCCACTGTAAATAATGGGGGTCCTTTGGAGGGTTGGCGCACTTTTGGAGAGCTGGGGCCCTGGGGGGGATGTGAGTCGGACTCGGGAAACATGGGACGGGACCAGTGAACACCAAGGGAGACGCCTGTTTTGGTGATTGGTGGGGGTCACACGGGGTCACTCGCTTGGTGGAGGCTCCTGTTGATGGGGACCAGTGCCTTCAAGTGATTGACCAAGTGAATGGTCCACGGATACCGTCCGCGTTGGCTGAGTCCTGAGTCCTGAGTCCTGACATATGAGCATGTGGGCAGCCCAGAAATCGCATGATGGCATGACTTTGAGTGTCGAGAGTGTTTGTTCGCTTCGGACATGGACCTAAAATGACCAAACGAGAGAAGACGCCCGCCTAGAGGCATCTCCAAGAGTGGGTCCCCTCGTCGGCTACTCTCCCGTTGGCCGTCCGGTTTCCTTCCGGGGGAGCGACACTGACCCACCCGACCTCGGGGCTCTGGGATTGGATGATTGGGATTCGCGCTACGTACCCGACCCGACCAGCGGGTCCCACCACCTGAGTAGGTACGTTTCGCAGCTTAGCTAAGCTTTCGCTCAAGAAGCCGGGGGGCCGCGTGGCTGGAGCACGTACCCATTTCTGTTCCTTTCCTTTCCTCTTGGCACATGTCTCTCCAGCAAGTCTGGATACTTATTAATAAAGTGCTCCGGGATCCAGAGGCCGTTCAATACGGATCAAAAAGCTTGAAAGAAGCTTGAAAGAAGCTACAAAAAGACATGGGAGGAATCACGGCAATCCTCTGAAAATGCCCAAGATCGATTTCACACACAATTGCGTGCTTGCTTACCTACGACCCTATTTACCTAACTCTAGGTGTACGAACACAGATACGTTAGGCCAAACAGGCACCAGCATGGGCAGCGCAGCGCACATCCCATGCCATCCAATTCGTCCCTAGGTCTACTTCCAGAGCCAGCTAAGATATTCGCCGTCTCCAAAACCGCCCCGAGGCCCAAGCAGGAAGGTAAGTGGAAGGTAAGCAATCGGACAAATTCGAGGGAACTTTGGAAGCTTAACGTGTCGACCTACAAGGGCTGTCGCGTCCATGGAGACAGCATGCGTCACCCTCATTCGTACGTCTGGTCAAACTGCTGCCTTTTTTCAACTGCGTCTGATCCTCTCGCAGCAAAGTGTCAGCACCATAGTTTGTTTCAATTGACTTCATCTCACCGTATCGATACCATCGCGTTGTATTTCGTCCCCCAATTGTGAATACCATCTACATTCCAAATCCACCACCTTTCGCGGTGTCCACCCATTCTCTCCAACATGCGCGTGGCAAAGGAATTCACCCCCGAGGTGCTCCTGAGCGCACCCCGCCGCGGCGCCGCCGTCCCGAGCCCGGACGGCAAGCTCATCCTCTACACCCAATCCACCCACAGCTTCGGCGACAACAAGACCCTCAAGGAGGTCCGCCTCATGCACGTTGAGTCCGGCGCCTCCGATCAGCTCACCGACGACGACAATGTACACGACGCCCTGTGGCTGCCTGGCACAGCGAGCGACATCGTCTACTTGAAATCCGGCGACAAGGGCACCACCCAGATCTGGATCGCCAACGGCGCCGAGCCGGCCAAGGAGCATTACGTCGCTGCAGAGTATGATGCGCCCATCAGCGCGCTCAAGGTTAAGGCGCTGGGTGATGGGAGTGTCGGCTTCGTCGTTGCTGGGCTGGTAGGGCCCGACGGGTCTCTGTTCAATGACAAGACCGAGGAGAAGAGGTCCACGGGGCGAATCTTTGACGATTACCACATGAGGCGTGTAAGTTGGGAGAAACGGTTTGGCGAGCGTAAGATGGTGACAAGTTTCGTGATTAACAAACCTCGTGTTAGTGGAACGAATTGATCAAACCTCACAAATACGCCCTCTGGTACTCGACTCTCGTCAACGCGCACGGCAAATGGGGCGTCGCAGGCGAGCTCCAAAACGCCATCAAGGGAAGCCGTCTCGAGGCGCCGTCGGGCATGTACGACGTCAGCGACCCGACGGACGCATTCGACGTCAGTGAGAAAGGCATCGCCTTCATCGCAGAGGACACCGGGCTGAAGCCGGAGGACGCGGGCGCCTCCCACGTCTACTACGTCCCGCTCACATCGTTCTCGGCCGCCGCGAGTGCCAAGCCCAGGCCACTTGTCATGGGCATATCGGAGGCCAAGGCGTATTACTCCAACGTGAGGTTCTCGCCCGACGGCTCCAAGATTGCATTTTTGCACGAGCCGCTCGACAACCCCGCGGACGCGAGGTTGTATATGGGCCACACGGCGTCCTTTGGCGCTTACGATGTGCACAAGATGATCTTTGGCAACGGGCCGAGCTTGCCGCCCAAGGGGTTCGAGTTCGCGGGCAGCTCTGATGCCATCTTTTTGCAGACGGAAGACTGCGGACGGGTGAAGCTGTCGCACGTGGAGCTCCGTCACGATGCAGAGGCGACGACACTGACGT